TCACAGCGCTTCAGATGGGCTTTGGCTGACTTGTTCAAAGCATATGGTGTGCTCAATCTGGGCAAGAAAGAGTGACACCATGCGCACATCCAGGCGGGCTGTTCTACGTCCAGGGCGGTCGGCGTGACCGGGATGTACGACCGGACGTCGGTGAACCGGTCGAGGGGCACCCGCGGGTGAACTCGCTTGATGTGGCTATACCGGCCGACCGAGAGCTGTCTCATGGAACCGGCCCTGACCACCACTTCGCAGACATTGCAGGTCCACTGCTTGCGTCGGCCGACCGTGCAGTGCTTTTGGCGGGCCTTGCTGACGGCGAGGGAGACGCCCTTCATGCGCTGGCTGCGCTGCTTGGCGGCTTGGCAGGTCCGGCGCTTGCCTTTATCATTGCGTTGCCGTGGCTGGCTCTTGGCTGGGCCGGCACATTGGTCCCTGCTCCCGGCAAGTGTTGGCCTGGGCTTGTCTGGGCAGGTGGCGGGCTTCCGTGGTGCACCCTCTTCTTCGGAGGAGACATGTGCAGGGATCCAGGAATCATCCATGGCACAGTGCTGTGCTGCCGTTTGCCACCTCCGCGGGGGGCAAAGGTCTGAGAGGCAGTTTGCGCAACGGCCTCCTGACGGATGTAGTCAGGCAATTTGTCTCCCTTCGGAAGAAGGAGAGTGTAGTGCCCAAGGGAGTAGCGCAAGTAGAGAGTGATGGCCGACTTAGGGTTAACATAGGAAAGCACCTGTTCAGGCTTATCCAAACTACCGCACACCAGCTGCATGGAAATTCCCAGCAAGGCAGCAGCCGCCCGGAAACTGATTTCGTCGGCCCATCTGGCAGGCCGCCAGATTGCCTCAAGGTATTGCTGCCATGTGGCTGGGGGAGTTCCGTCCTCCACAATGAGAAGATGCGCCGCCTCGGCTTCCGGATCGGCCGAGTCTGGGCTCACACGGCTCGGCTCGAAGAACGGCTTGAAGCGCTCCTCGTGCCCTTGGATGTAGGAGGCCACGCGGCTACGCAGGCCACGCCCCTTGGCATTCAGATCACCTTTGATGTCTTCGAAGGCGGTCCGTGTGGTTTTGAGGACGAAGCCCGCGGTAACACAGTTGTAGAAACAGTGCCCCGCCGCCCCACACTCGATTTCCTCCCACTGCGCAACACGCTGGCGCTTAGGTGCTGGACTGGGTTTTGGCCCACGCTCAGTGCCTTCACCAGTGGCGGCTTCGCCGGCAGTCGGGGTCGGCTGCTTGACTTCCGCCTCTGTTGCAGGTTGCCCTCGGCTCGCTCTGGTAGCGTCAGCTTGGTCAGGCTTCTCCTGCTCATCGCCATCAACAGCCATGGCTTCAGCGCTGTCCGCCGGCTCGGAACTGCCAGCTTCCGTCCGTCCTTTGCCTTGGGCCTTGCCTTGACCTTTGCGAGGTGGCTGCCACTGTTTTTCGCGGAATGTCTCGGCCTTTTGGCGGCCCACCGCGCGCTCTATCCTGAGGGTTTTGTCGCCGGCTTCCACGAGCATGGCCAGCTCGCCCCGATCGTCGGCCAATTCAGCCCGAACCAGCCAGGGCCGGCTCCCCTGTGCCTCGCTGAGCACGGTGGCGCTGAGGAAAGCAGCGCCTTGCAAAGCCTCCACAACGTCTGCGTCATTCCAGGAGCGCGGCACGCCCCGCACACGCCAAGTGCTCACCGCCTGGACCGCCTCCCCTTTTCTGGCCCGGATACCTAAGCAGGAGCCTTGTCCTTTGCGCAGCGCAAGGGGCTTGCCAGCGGCAGCTTGCAAGCACTTGCGCAGGTAGGAGATGCCTACCAGTCCCTCGGGGTCGACCCACTGCACCATGGGCCGGGCCGCCTGATCACGGGCCAGCTGCTCGGAGAACAGCCCGTTCTTGCCAGATTGTTCAAGCACCTTGGCTGCCTCGGTGGAGACAAAGGTCACGTACCCCACGAAGTACGGGTCGCAGTCCTTCCCTGTCACCAGCTTCCATCCCTCTGCTTTATGAGGCTTGACCCCTAAGAGCTTACCGACCACCTCCCTAGGGCAACCCTGCAGAGCGCGCCAAACCTCGTCATGCATGAACGCCTTGGCTGCTTGCACACGCAATGTCTGAAGGTCCCGGGCGGGCGGTTTGAAGGACGACTGTCGCCTCACCACGGGAGGTTCAGGGCAGCCCTCCCGCGTAAGTGGCACGGCGTGCCACTGCTTCACCTCCCTGCGTTCACCCTTGACGCAAGTGATGTCGCACTTCTTAGCTGCTTCTCCGAGCTCGCCTGGGCAGAGAAGGGCAACCTTGCCTTGGACCTCGTTGACCCTGGCCATGTCCCGCAGGGCTGTGGCTTGATCAGGATTCTTGACAAGGATATGCTCGACCTGCAAAGGGAGTTGCTCTTGGATGCGCCGCCGGGCTTCGCCGGCAGTGATGGCCTGCACCGACCTGTCCACCTGCCAGCCTACCTGACCTTGTGCCTTGCTGTCACCTGCTGCCTTGGGTTGAGTGGCCCGGCTGGTGTAAAAGGACTGCTTGACGACACTGGCTTCAGCCATGGCCTGCTGCTTTTTGGCTTTGGCCTTTTGCCGTCGCTCGGCCCGGCCGCTTTTCAATGAGCGTCCGGCCTTGGCTGACTCAATGACGCTGCACAGCCTGTGACACAGGCCGGCTGGGCCTTGCACAGAGGCCCGGCCGACCAATCTCGTGATCGCTGCCAGCAATTGCTTTTCATCAATGCCGCCCGCAGGTGGCCTACCTTCCCCCTTGCCCTTGGCTTTGCCGGCCTTGCCTGCACCTTTCGGAGGACCCGGCCTATCAGGACCTTTGGCCCGGACTGGGCCATTGCCGCCTTGATGTGCTTGCCTGCCCTTGCCTTTTGCCTCGGCTGGGGGCCCATCGGCGCCAAATGTGGTAACCAGGTGCTGGAGCGCTTGCAGGAAAGCCCCTTCATCTCTACCTCCGCCGCGCGGTGCAGCAATGTCATGCGTGGCTGGAAGGAGTGGGCCGCCAGCCCGCACCAAGCTTGCACGCTGGATCTCAATATCCTCCGCCCGGCCGTCCCGCCCGGGATGGCCGTCCGGGCCTTCTCCACACCCAGTCCGAAAGCTCTGACTCTGACTAGACAAACTGGCTGCACAAACGAATTTAGAAGAGGGATCGGGCAACGGATCACATGTGCAACGTTCCCCGGCCTGGTTCCCCTCAGCTCGCTGTGTCAAACTGACACCCTGTGTCGATGCCGACTTTGCTTCTGCATCACACGCTGCGTCAAAACTAAAAGAGGAAAAATCTGAGCCCCGCGCTGCAGATGCCTCCGTGTCGCTGTCATGCCGGCCAAAATGGCCCTTGCTTGCTCGCTGCGGGCGTTTGCCGTGTCCGCCACCGGCACCAACCGCACAGCCTCGGGATTCACCCTGGCCAAAATGGTCCAAGGGTGCTGGCTCGGAGTTGCTGCCAAATCCACCGCCGGCACCAACATCATCCCGCCCAGGATTGCCCTCTGGGCTTTCTCCACAACCGTTGGTCTCGGATCCAGTGACATGCACCCACAGTGCCCACCGAATCCTCCCACTGTGACGCCTCATCGCATGGAGGCCTCGGCCTCGTCTAGCAGCTGGCCGTCGTGCCCCTTCAACCCAGCGGCAGGCAAATGCAACGACCCGCCAGCTCAGAGGTGGCCGCTCCTTGACCTTTGGGCCTCGACGGCGTCTGCGCCGAGCGCGCCGTGCAATCAGCTTCTTCTTCAAACCAAGTTTCGACCAGCTCCTCTGACACCGAGGCCAGCGAAGGCGGGTCCTGCATGTACCGGGCTTCGGCGTCTCTGGTTCGCTGTCCCATGCCCCAGCATCACCCAAGACCGAAACCAGAAGAGCATCGAAAATGCACTGCCACAGCCATGCTAAGTCTCCACTGCTCGGCCACCCAAGGCCCCACCAGCTCATAAGACCAAACATAGCAGAAAGTGGTCCCCTCCGAAGTAGAGGCACACTAGTCACCGACCATTGTCTCCATCTCGTTCTTGGCCGTTGGTCGCCTCGCCATTCTTCGAATTGTAAGTAGCAGCTTGGTTCCCCGGAACCTGTGCCGCTAAATTCACTGTCCTTCTTTTTGATCTTGATCATGTCGGTGAAGTTCTGCTCCTCCCAATTGGAGGCCCGCTGGCACCACGTGGAGGTACTTCCATGCCAGCACCATCACCATCGTCACATTTTCAGCATCATCATCATCATCATCATCGTCATGACCATCACCATTGTCACATTCTCATCATCGTCATCGTCATCGTCAGCCTCAGCCTCCTCCTCCTCCTCCTCCTCCCGCCTCCTCCTCCCTCCTCATCCACATCCTCGCATCATCCCTCCTATCATTGCCATCATCGTCATCAGTGTCACTATCACAAACATCATCAACAACATCAACATCACAGTCATGATCGTCATCATCACCCTCCCTATCATCATTGTCATGAGCTTCTTCATACTGCCATGTCTTCATGATCGTCGGCTGTTTTTGCCTCATCAATAGTCATAGTCTGCCATCAGTGTTGCAATCTAACTTGGCAGCGACATAATCCCCCTGTAACAGCATCAGCAGCTACAGCGGCATCAAGATCAGCACCAGGGGCATACATCAGCCTCAGCACCATCATCGTCATCACTGTCATTGTCCTGATCCTCCGAGTTTTTGTCATGCTCACTGTCAGCAATCTCTTATGATCTTCATGACCAGCACCGGCGACATTGTCACAGTCGCTCCATTCCTGCTGTGACTGCATACTTTAGCGTCAATCGCTTCGAGCATGCTACTGGTACCGCTACAGACAGCAACAGCGAGCACCGTGCTGGCACTGAGAAGCAGCAGCAGCTGCTCCTGCTTCTGCTGCTGCTGCTGCTGCTGTCGCTCTCGATACACGGCTTCTACTCCTTTCTTGCGCTGTTAGTGCTAACCTTACCCTTATAGTGATCGTGCTGCCTTTGCATTGTCAAAGGCTATGTCTACAGACCGCCACCTCCTTCAAAGCAGCTTACGATCGAGATGCAGGTGTCAGTGACAGAGTGCAGAAACTGGCGGGAGGCAGGGCCGCAGCAATCAAGGAAGGGGTTTCAGGGTTTAGGGTTTAAGGGTTTTTAAGGGTTTTTTAGTGCTTTTAGGGTTTAGGGTTAAGGGTCGGAGTCACGCTTTCTTCATTCTTTTTGCCAAGTTTTTTTTAGAGCAAATCGCGTTCTAGAGTCAGAGCCGCTCCGACATGCAGACATGTGTGGTCAGGTCCTCGCCGTGGTAGAGAACTTGGGAGATCTCTTCGACTTTCGGAACACCTCGACGGCCGTGCATCGAGTTGCAAAGTCCAGTGCGTGGGGCTCAGCGGATCGATTTGCGGACAGGGTAAGACTGCAAGATGCGCGCAGACTCTGAGGTTTCGTCATGCAGACATGCTTTTGACGGCTTCTCTCTCATGTTATCAAGACGACGGCCAAACCCCCAAACCCGAAATCCTAAGCACCCTAAACCCTAAACCCTCAACCCTAAACCTCCCAAACCCCAAACCCCTAAACCCCAAACCCTAAACTCTGAGCCCAAATCCCACGATGCAGCCTCACCTGACCTTCCATGCCGTTGGCTCTGCCAGTCTTGGCAGGTAGGCACCTTCAGCGGCTCTTTTGAGGGGCCGCTTGAAGGGAATCTTTACAAGAACCCTTTACAAAACCCTTTCAGGAGCCCTAAAGATCGTAGATGAACCCTCAAAGGAGAGCCCCCTTTAAGGGGTCCTCTCTAAAACCCTAAGGGCTCCCTCTGCTTGCAGGTCCATGGGTAGTTAGAAGTGGAGTTATAAGTAGGGTAGCCATAGTTACATCCCATATTAGGGGACTTAGAACCCCACTTATAACTACCCCTGAGCCCTAAACCCTATAGAACCCTATGAAACCCTTTAAAGGAACCCCATAGCCCCCACTTATAAACTATCCATGAACCTCCAAGTACAGCCCCCCAAAACCCCTAAACCCTAAACCCCCTGAGCCCTAAACTCCTAAACCTTAAACCCCTGAACCTTCAAGTGGCCTCCCTTTTTTCGAGGTGGAAGCCGGCCTAAACCCTAAAACCCTCTTTAAGGGCTCCTCTCTAAACCCTAAGCCCTTTGGGCTGCTCTCTGGCCCTTTTTTTCCAAGGTGGAAGCCGTCGAGGAAACCTTAAACCCCCAAACCCCCAAACCCTAAACCGCTAAACCCCTAAACCCCAAACCCTAAACCCTGATCCAAGTGGCCCCCCTTTTTTCGAGGTGGAAGCCGGCGAGGCTCAGCTGGCGAAGGCGGACCATCGCTTCCCGCGGCTGCTGCAGCTGCTCAGGGCGAAGTGCAAGGAGCGCCCGCGGCCTTTTTTGGAGATCCCGGGTTTTCAGGCGTGTTTTAAGGGTTTCTAGGGCCTTTTAGGTCTTTTTGGGGGTTTCAGGGATTTTGGGGTTTTTAGGGTTTAAGGGTTTTTTGGTTTCTAGGTTTTTTTTTTTTTTCAGGGGTTCCGTTTTTTTTCAGATTAGGGGGTTTAGGGTTTTTCGGGGTTTTAGGTGTTTTAGGGTTTTCAGTGTTTTGAGGGTTTTCGGGTTGTTGATGTGGTTAGGGTTTTCTTGCTGATTTAGGGTTTTGATTCAGGGAGCCCCTGAACCCATAAAATTTAAACCGACTAACCCTGGACCCTGAACCACTCTAAATCCCCTCTTACACAGTGACTGCAGAGATGCTAAAGGGGTCTGAAGGACTCGCAATAAATAGCCTTGGTAATCGGATAGTGCTTTGCGTATTCATGCTCCAATCCACCCCGGCGCCCGATTCTAAGTATTCAGGCACTTAACCCGCACACCACCTACAGAGCCCTTGTGGAGTTTTTGACAGAAACCTGTATATAAGCTTACGTTTTATAGCATAAGCTCTACTTAATATATCATACCCTGGAGCTCTAAAGAGTATATCTATGCCCCAAACCCTCAGTTCGAGCCGCAGAGCCTCTTCTGTTGTCGTGCCCTGGAGCCTGAAAGCCCGAAACCCTAATGCCCTAAACCTTTAAACCCTAAACCCTAAACCCGAATGCCCTAAGCCCTAAACCCTGATGCCCTAAGCCCTAAACCCTAAACCCTAATGCCTAATGCCCTAAACCCTGAACCCCCAAACCCTAAAATCTCGAAGCTGCGCGTGTCTTTTCAGGATTTATCGGCCTGGGGACTCTCAGACGCAACGTGGGGGATGGTGCCTGGCCTGAATTGAAGTAGGGTTGAGGGTTTAGGGTTTAGGACTTCAGGGTTTAGGGTTTAGGGTTTAAATTTAGGGCTCAGAGTATTGGGAGTTTGGGCTGAGAGGTGTAGGAATTGATTTGGCATTTTAGCCGGAAAGGCTGCCTTCACAGCTTTAGAAGAGATGTTGCAAGCACTTGCAGTGCATGAGCACCTCCTCACAGGTAGAAGGGATGATGAAAAGATAGTTATCAATGTCTGATCTCAGTCAGTAAGAAAATAGTCTCTTTCTCGAGCGATGTTGGTGTCAAAGCTGTGTGCTTAGCTTTGTTGCTGGAGGCGAAAATGCAGTGCAAGGACGACGAGATTTTCACGAGGCTCTCTCTGCGTGCCCAGAGCATCATCCAGGACCGGTCTATGCAGAAAAAACGCCTTCAACTTCATTGTCCTCGCTGATGCCTACACATGACCCGGAAGCGCAGCGACAAGTGCCCTGCAGACCTTGAAGCCCCAACCACCAACGCTATGAAGGCCAACACCATGATGGTCCTTGCTGCATGCCACAAAGGCACCGAATGCTGACGCCTAAGGCCCAGACCTCGCACCTTGACACTCTCCATCCTGAACTAAAAGCGCCGAACTTCGACGCCTCAATTCTAGAGCTTGATGCCCAAGCCGCGAAATCCTAAAGCGCTGAGCCCTCCAAGCCTTACACCCCCTGAACCATCTAAGCCCTAAGCAGCAAGCCCTGAACTCTGAAGCCCTGAGCCCCTTGAAACCCTTTAACGCCTAAGCCCCTAAACCCCTAACACCCCTGAATCCCTAGAACCCCTAAACCCCTAAACCAAAAAACCCCTGAAGCCCTAACCCCTAAACCCTAAACCCCTAAACCCTTAAACCTTGAAAGCCCTAAACCCTAAAACCCTAAACCCCTGAAGCTCTAAACCCTAAACCCTAAACCCCTTAAGCCCTAAACCCCTAAACCTTAAAAAATAAGCCCTAAACCCCGAAACCCTACAGCCCTAAACCCCTTGAGCCATAAACCCCTAAACCCTGTTGCCTAAGAGCGAAGCATGCATCGTTGTTCCGTGCTCAAGCTTATGGAGATTTTTGAGGCCTTACCTCAGGTGATAGGCCTGTTTCAGTGGGGCTGGGCTTCGGGTTGGTTTGGCTTAGCTTGCCCGGCTCACTGCCAAGGATCTTGGGTCCTTTTTGGGATCCATCTTCCTCTCTGGCTTGAGTTTGGGCTCCCTTGCCACCCTCGCCTTTTTCCTCTGGATTTATCCTGCCCTTATTCGGCCCTTCGCTGACTCCTCCTCCCCTCGGCCTTCGACTTCAGGGCACACTTTCGCCGAGCCAGCTGCCAGTCCTCCCTCTGGGCCCTCGAGGCCACGACACCTGCGACTCCGAGGTTATCTGTTGCATGGCCAGTGAGGAGGCCGAAATTTCCTCAGCCATCACCGAGGTCCAGCTGGCCCTCGAACGCCTTCGGATCGCCACCTTGCGATCGCCCCACCGGGCTGCATCTGCAGATCCTCTCCCTGAGTGGGAGGTTGTGTCTGAGCCTCCTGCCGAGGCTGTGCCTGCTGGTTATAGGCTTAGTTCTAGGTCCTCCCCTAGGGGTTACCCTAAGGCCGCTGCCCAGCAACCCCCCACCACACGTGCCGCTACTGAGGCTGCCTTTCCTGATTGCCCTCAGCACTGCCTTGACCTTTGCTTGCGCCTTTCTTGCCCGGGGGTCCCTTCAGAGAACCGTGCGCGCCGTGCCTGGAGAGCCGGCTGCTGGGCCCGTGAGGTACTCGCTGGTCGGTGGGCCACGCCTTTGGCCACCCCGGCTCTGCCTGCTGTGCGTCCTGTGGTTTACGTTGTGCTTTTCAGCTCTAAGCTGCCCTCGCCTGCCCGCTTCTCCACCTTCGCTGCCCTTCGTGCTGTCATCGGGGAAGTGTCAGGACTCGGTGTTGCACTCCTTCGGCTCCCTGGCCGAGGCCAGAGTCTACTGCTACGCTGCCGAGGTGGAGTTACATTCACCCTACCAAGGATGAATCCGGAGAACTTGAAGTTCGACCCCGAGGGAGTTGGGCAGCCGTGTGCCCTAACCTGGCCCCTTCCAACTCAAGATGCAGAGGAGCCCCGGGTCTTAGCCCTTCCGCTGAAGCGCAGGCCTGGAGGATTCATGCTGGCCCTCCCGGCTTACCTCAGCCATTCCCTCACGGAGGATGCTGCCTCGGAGGAGCCCTTGGATATGCTGGGCCTGTCCCTGCTGGTGTCAGTGCCTGCGGTCGAAGAGGACGAGCAGGGCGAGGAGGTGCCGGTGGGCCTGGAGTGCCCCGTGTTATTGCTGGACGTCGACGATGGCCTTGCCGAGAGGATGGTGCCCTACGACCCGGTTACCGACATAGATGTGGTTCCTTTCGTGTTGGGCTCCTCCCAGCTGTTCCCCCAGCCGGAAGCACTGCAGAGGGCAGCCCGCGAATGGGTCGAGGGAGCCTCGTCCGAGAAACTGGGCTTCTACACCGCAGCCGAAGAGCTGCCAGAGGAGGCCGTGGTCCCTGCTGCTCAGACTCCCAAACGGCAGCCAGTGCCGAAGAACCGTGTGACGGTGAACCAGTTGTCAGAGCAAGTGTCTGCCTTGACGGGCGTGTTGCCAGGCTTGGTGGAGCAGATGAGAAACTTGGTGGATCGGCAAAACATGCTGGAGAAAGCTTCTCCGGCCCCAGCGCCGGCTCAGGCGACTCATCCCTTGCCAAAGCCCTGACCCAACAAGGGGAGGCCTTGTCCCTCCTCGTGTCGCACCTGGTGGCCCAGGGAGAGTCCTTAGACTTGGGGAGCTCCTCGACTTCAGTGAGTGGAAGGGGTCGGCCAAGAGGGAACGTATGCAGCAGGAGCTGGCAGCTGAAACTTCGACTTTCTTCTTGCAGGTGTGCCAAGCTGCCCACCGGAGGCTCCATCCGGCCCTGCCGGTGCCCAGCTCCCTGGACGATATGAGGACCTGGAGAGGCAAGGAGGGTACGCCCAGCAGCGAGGGACCGGCCTGGTGATGTTGATGCTGGCTACCATTGCCGATTGTTTCCTGAGGGGCGACACCCATGCTGCCATGGAGCACCTCGGTCTCGCCCTGGCTGCCACCGAGCAGTCCTGCACCGACAACGGGAGGTGGGATCTGGGTTTCTTGCTGACGCTGCTGGAGGAGCCTGCACCTTCAATGTTTGCCCCGCGGGGCCAGGCAGCCAACACCCGGTTGAGGGCTTGCTCGCCTCTGGTTCCCCCTGCTTTGGGGTCTGTCACCCTGGCTTATGTTCGGGAGGTGGACCTCCTTTCCCAAAGGAGGAAGGATGCTGTGCAGCCCAGCCGGGCAACCGCCGAGGCCGAAGAGCCCGGAGGCGACGAGACAAAGCCGAAAAGGCAGAGGTTTCCTCGCCGGCCAAAGCCCCCTTGAGTGCCTCTGTGTTGCCTCCGCCGCCCTCCAAGATACCTATGAGCCCTGGAATCGGGACCCCTTCTAGGAATTCGTCTTTTGCTAAGCCCGGTCGCCCCTGTGGCAGGCTTTTGCGTGCAGGCGGTCATGCTCCTCAGGAGGTAGGCCCCCGATCCTCGGGTCGATGCCCCCTTGTCTTTTCGGAGCTGGGCTCTTCGTGCGCATTTGAATTTTTTTTTTAAGGCCCGCACGCCCTTCTCTGCCTTTCTTTCTCGGACTTTGCACCTTTGCCGGCGCGGCGTGTGTGCCCCGGCTCATGTCCTGTTCCCGCTCCCCCTTCCTCACCCGGCCATCTTCCAGTCCTGCCTTGCACTTTCGTCTAGGCGGCGGGCCGTGGTTGCTGAGCGGCGTCTTTTGCATGTCTTGGTGATGGCCTTGAATTTCCTACACCAGGACCCCCTCGAGCTTTTGCAGCGACCTCCGAACGAGCCTCAGGCCCGTTGTTTGTCCTACCTCGGGGCCCTTGTCAGGACACACGGTAGCGAGCAGGAGGGCGTAACACCTTCCATCGCCGGGCGTCGAATTCACGTGTTGCAAGCTCGGCTGGGAGAGCTCTCAAGACGCCTGTCGGACCTGGGCCCTGTGGGTGATATCTACTCCTGGGTTCCCCCCGCCGATCCTGTGGTCCTTCCGGACACCCTGCCTGAGGACCAGCAGCCCTACCAACCTGCCCAGGCCGAGCGCCTTCAGATCAGTGGCCGTGGGCTCTGGGACCCGCTGCCCTTCCTGCCGCCTGTCCTGCAGATGGCTTACGCGGAGCCTAGGAGCCTTTTGTTTGGAGGCCTTCCGGGCCCTGAGACTTTCCCTGACTGTTCCCGCCAAAAACGCGGCCGAGACATTGAAGCTTGCCCTGTTGTGGTCGTCCCAGGGTTTGCTGCACCTTGAGCCGTTCGCTTCCGACCTGCACCCCTCCTGCTATACGAGGATCTTTGCGGCCAGGAAGTCATCAGGCAAGCTGCGCCAGATAGGAGACCGTCGTGGCCCCAACTTTGCTGAAGCACGGCTGCCCGGCCCGTCAAGATGGCTCCCCTCGGGGGAGGTGCTCACCGCCCTCTCTTGCCGACCTGCCTGCGAAGGCTTGTGCTTGTGCATAACAGACCGCCGAGACTTCTACTGCCAGCTGAGGTGCACACCAGAAAAGGCGAGGCTGAACAGGCTGCAGCCCGCTTTGCCGGCCCAGGCGTTTGTTGGGTCCCAGGCTCTGCTTGACCTTCGCCTTCGCCTCGCCGACAGCTCCTCCCCCTTAGGCCCCTATGGTTTAGGCCCAGACCCTTTGCAACCTAGGCCCAGGGATGACTTTAAGGTGCAAGCTTGTTTCTCGTCGGTGCTCCAGGGGGATCATCTCGGAGTGGAGGTGGCGACGGCCAGCCACTCTGCTTACCTTGAAAGCAAGGGGCTTTTTCTCCCCCGCCAGCGCCTGCAAGCGAACCAGCCGGTGCTCAACAGCCAATGCCACCAAGGGCTGATAATAGACGATTTCTTTGCCATTGCTAAAATCAGCCGGTCGGCGCACGCTGGCCTCACTTCCTCTACCACGACCCCGGCCAAAACCTGCATGGACGAGGCTCTGGCTGCGTACCAGGCCGCGGGGCTAGAAGGATCGGCTGAGAAAGACGTGGTGAATGCAACGGTCGGCTCGGTGGCAGGAGCAGAAGTCGACAGCCGAAGCAGCACTCTTGCCAGAGGGCTCTGTGTTATCGGAGCTCCTCGTTCGAAACGTTTTGTGCTGTCGGTTCTCAGCCTAGAAGCCTGCTTGCTGCCACTGACTCTCTCAACGCGTGTTTGCTGGGAAGCTGGACCTCAGCATGCACGTTTCGTCGGCCGTGTTTCTGTGCCTTTTCAAAGGCTTTCGCGCTGTCTCCTCTCGGCGATCTCGACCCAGAGGCCCCTAAGATCCTGAAGCACCCCGGGCTGTTGCTCAGGAATTTCAGCTGGCAGCAGCTCTGGCCCCGGTCGCCTGCTCTGATGTGGCCGCCCCGTATGCCGATCGCCTCTACGCCACCGACGCCTCAGAAGCAAAAGGTGCCTGTGTTTCGGCCCCTCTTCCTGAGCACCTCCGGCTGTGCTTTGGGCGACCGCTGATAGGAAGGGAGCCTATGCTCGTATTTGCTCCCCTGCCCAGGCCCTGCTGCGACGTGCCGACCCCATGTTTGAAGAGAGGCCGGAGGCTGACCAAGCGAGCCCAGAACGACCGCTCGCTTTTCTCTTTGACTTCTTGGCATTGGGCCCGCGTGCTGGCGAGGTACTTAAGGATGTCGCAGAGAGGGGTTGGTCGGTTGGCCCTCTCATGTCAGGAGATGTGTCCCCGCACTACTGCCTCAGCCTGCCTCGCCTCCTGGACTGGGTCTTTTACCTCATCGACGAGGATCGTGTCCGAGCCATCTATGTGGCCGCCCCTTTGGTGCTGACCTGGCACCCTTCCGACACACGCTGGCTATTCTGATGAAAGCCCGGGCTGCCGATGTTGCGTTCGTTGCCGAGGCTCCCTTCTTCCTTCAAGGCAGGGCACAGCTGCTGTGGCAAGGGATGCTGGGCCTTTGCGGGGTCCAGACGTGCGCTGCTTCGACTTGTGCTTTCGGCTCCCCCTACCTCAAGAGGCTCAGGTTTATTGCGGTTGGTTGTTGCCTCGCCCCCCTGTCAAAGGAGTGCTCCTGTTCTCTTCCCCATCGGCCGGGTTTCGTGCCACGGTCCGGCCTGTCACACTGTGTTGGGGGAGTTTTCCACCGGGCCTTGCGTGAGCGGTCTGCTTGGCTTCGAGAAACCGACCTTGGCATAGAGGGTTTGGAGTGCACTGCTCCCTCCGACCTTGCCCTGTCCCTGAACTGGAGGACCGATCAGGTGTGGAGGTGGAAAGGGCAGGTCCACATCAACATCCTCGAGGCTTCGGCCCTCGCTCGCCTCTTCACCTCGCTTGCTATCCAGGGGGGCCCCTTGAGGTTTGTCAATCTGTGCGACTCGCATGTTGCAAGGGCCGCCGTGTCAAAGGGCCGGTCGGCCTCACCTGGACTTAGGCACGCCACGCGTCGCTAATCCACGGTAACCCTAGCGGCTGGCCTTTACCATGGAGGTATGTATTGCCCGACGAGGCTCATCCCAGCAGACAACCCTACCAGAGACAGGCCGTTCGAGCCACCAGTTCTTACCCTTGGCCCGGCCTTCCGGGATGAGGACAAACTACTCCTTGATGCTAGCAGGCCGAGGCTGCGCCGCTGGGCATCGAATTGGGTTCGGCTGGTGTTTGCGGTCAGGCCGACCATTGCTGTGCTGCCTCTCGGTATGCCTCCCTGTTGCCTTCGACGCCACCTTTGGATTTCCTGGCGAAGGGCCCCGGCATCTCCCATGGATTTCCTGCCTTGCTTTTGGACTTCTCACTTGCCCTCCTCGGCTCTCTTTCTTTTGCGGGTTGAGGCTTCAGGGTTGTTTCGGGTTGCTGGGTTTAGTTGAGCCCGTCGCCGCCATGGAAGCTGCACGAGCCAAGAAGACAGAGAGCCAAAGGAGAGAAGCGCGAGCTGGGACGGTGTTGGAGAAAGGTCGGCCCATGCTGGCCTCTACGAGAAGCCGTCGTGAGAAACTGCAGGAGCTGTTTGAGAAGTGGTTGCGAGAGCGTGGCCGTACCTGGGCTGGTCTGCAGGCCCTCGCGAAGTACGATGTGGAGCAACTGAACGAAATCTTGATTTGGTACGGGCAGTGGCTCTACGCCGAAGGCAAGCCCTACTATCACCTCTCGGAGACTATAAACATGTTCTCTTGGCTTGCCCTCAGGTTCGTCGTCAGCTTCAGCCAGCTTGGGATATCTGTTTCTCGTGGCAGCGGCAGGAGCCACCGGTGCACCACACAGCCCTGCCCTGGCAAATTTTGCTCGGGATGTTGTCCATCTCTATGCTCTGGGGCTGGATGGATGTTGCAGGTATCCTGGCTATCTGTTGGGGCGGGCTAGCTCGGGTAGGAGAAGCAATGGCGGCGAGGAGGCGAGACCTTGTCCTCCCCGATGACGTTGGGGTGGACTGTGGCGCGGACGGCTCCATGATTCTCATGGCGGTCATGGAACCCAAGACCCGGTTTAAAGCTGCAAGACACCAGTGTGTGAAGGTGGACCAGCCCCAGCTCGTGAAGCTGATCCGGTGCGCTTTCCAGCGCCTGCGCGCCGACGAGAAGCTTTGGCCAAGGTCGGGCGCTACCCTGCGGGCACGTTTTCAGAAGCTCCTTAGCGCTTTGGGGATCCCGCCGAACGCAGTGGCGGGCGTCAGGGACTTCGACATTGCCAGCCTTCGAGCAGGCGGCGCGACATGGTTGATGGGTTCCACCGAGAGCCCGGAGCTTGTCCGTCGCCGAGGCCGCTGGGTTACGGCCAAGGTCATGGAAATCTATATTCAAGAAATGGCAGCCATGATGTTTTTGCCGCGGCTGGAGCCAGAGCTGCGGGAAAACATTTTCAACTGGGCAAACGTTTTCGACGAGGCCTTCGAGTTCGTTGTCTGGTGCCAATCGTTGGGCCTTTTGCCCAAGTACTGGCTTTTTCTCCTACAGCAAGGTGTTATATATGCTTGATGGCACGGGTGAGTTTTCCTATGCTTTATGGTTTGGGTGTCAGCGGAGAAGCTTCGGTTGTACAGCTGCGCCGAAAATTCTTTGTGTGACATCGGACCGGTGCAAAAGAAAGTGCGAGCTCTTGTTGCCTAAGAGCGAAGCATGCATCGTTGTTCCGTGCTCAAGCTTGCCCTCCCGCCGCGCCCAACACCCTTGCAGCGGAGAAGCTTCGGTTGTACAGCTGCGCCGAAAATTCTTTGTGTGACATCGGACCGGTGCAAAAGAAAGTGCGAGCTCTTGAAAACCCTTACAGCCCTAAACCCTTGAAGCCCAAAGGTCCGAAACCCTCGCTTCGTCTCTCGGCAGGACTTGGACCCCCAGGGCCTTGCCATCGTGGCCTGGTCTTTCGTCCCTCTGCCTTTCGGGGGTGGGGGTTTAGGGGGATAGGGGTTTAGGGTTTAAGGTTTAGGGGTTTAGGGGTTTAGGGGTTTAGGGTTTAGGGTTTAGAGTTTTGGGGATTTCGGGGTTTAGGGGACAGGGTTTGCGGGTTGAAGGCCTTGGGGAGTTTGTTAAAGGGTTTTGGGGATTTCGGGGTTTGGGGGACAGGGTTTGGGGTTTAAGGGTTTTGGGAGTGGAGTGGGGTTGGGGGGTTTTAAGGGAGTGGGGTTTGGGATTGGGGGTTAAGCGACCAGCGTTTGAAGGGGCTTAGGGGCTTAGGGGGTATTTTTTTGCTTGGGGGTTGTGGCATTCGCTATGAGAGTAAGGTTTAGGTAGGATCGTGTGTGTGGGGTTCAGGGGTAGGATTTCTCGTGTAGGACCGAGGGATGTAGTCTTTAGAGGGTTGAGGAGTTCCGGTACAGGACTTCGGATTTGGTGTTGAGACATGGGCATCCAAATTTGTTTTAGTCGTCTTGTGAAAAACCTCCGAATGGGTTTCCTTGGGAGTCAGGGTGTGCAGTGCAGGCTTCTTGGGGCATAAAGGGCTTGTCTTACGTTGCCTGCAAAGGTATAGCCAGTATAGTCTTTATGTTTCAGGGCGTTGCAAAGGGGTTTCGACATGCCAGTAGACTCCGCGTCTCCTTGGGTTAATACTTTGCAAGGATGATGGTCAGCACTACTTCTGCTGGTGTAGACCGTAAACCTAGACCCGCCCTAAACCCTAAATCCTAAGCCCTTTTTTCTAGACGTGTTCCTGAACCCTAAATACCCTACACCCCAAGAGCCTTTTTCTTTTTGGAGATGCCCAGGGTCTTCTGGGTCTTACAGGCATATTTCGAGGGTCGAACCTTGTTCCTGATCGCTGGCCAGCTTTCGGGTACCAGAGCCGGAGCCTGCCACGCCTGAGCTGCTCAAGTTCGCACCCTGAGACGAATCCCTGAGACCCCAACGTTCTGCCCTAAACCCAAAACCCAAAACCGTAAACCTTAAACTCTTAAACCCTAAACCGTAAAGTCTTCGCTGAGGGCTCGACAACCGCCACGCGTAGC